AATGGATTCGCTGATGGTGGCACGTTTTGTTAGAGTCACTCTATAACCTGCATCAGTCAGGGCACTCATGGTGCAGAGTAGAGGGACAGGATCTCCTCCTTTGACCTGCTGGTCACTCTCCTTTTGATGTATCCCAGGATACGGTTGGCTTTCTGGGCTGCAAGTGCACGCTGCCAGCTCATGTTCTGTTTCTCATCGACCAACACCCCCAAGTCTTTCTCCGCAGGGCTGCTCTGAATCTCTTCTCTGCCCAACCTATAGCTGTGCCTGGGATTGCTCCAACCCAGGTGTAGGACCTTGCACTTGGCAGGGTTAAACTTCATGAGGTTGGCATCAGCCCACCTCACAAGCATGTCGAGGTCCCTCTGGATGGCATTCCTTCCCTCCAGGGTATCAACCGAACCACACAGCTTGGTGTCATCGGCAAACTTGCTGAGGGCGCACTCAATCCCACTGTCCATGTCAGCGACAAAGATGTTGAACAAGACCGGTCCCAACACCGATCCCTGAGGGACACCACTCGTTACTGGTCTCCAGCCAGACATTGAGCCATTGACCACAACTCTTTGTGTGGCCATCCAGCCAGTTCTTTATCCACCCAGTGGTCCATCCATCAAATTGATGTCTCTCCAATTTAGAGACAAGGATGTCGTGTGGGACAGTGTCAAATGCTTCGCACAAGTCCAGGTAGATGCCATCAACTGCTCTACCGCTGTCCATCAGTTCTGCAGCCCCATAATAGAAGGCCACCAAATTGGTCAGGCAGGATTTCCCCTTAGTGAAGCCAAGCACCTTGTTGTTTTTCATGTGCCTTAGCATGCCTTCCAGGAGAATCTGCTCCAAGATTTTGCCAGGTACAGAGGTGAGACTGACTGGTCTGTAATTCCGCAGGTCATCCATTTTCCCCTTCTTGAAAATGGGGGTTTTATTTCCCTTTTCCCAGTCATCGGGAACTTCACCTGACTGCCATGATTTTTCAAATATGATGGACAGTGGCTTAGCAAATTCATTCTCCAGCTCCTTCAGAACCTGCAGATGGATTTCACCAGGTCCCATGGACTTGTGTACGTTCAGATTTTTAAGATGGTCTCAAACCACATCCTCTCCTACAGTGGGCCTAAGGTCTTCATTCTCACAGTCCCTGCATCTGCCTTCCAAGATTTGGGTAGTGTGGTCAGAGCATTTGCCATTGAAGACTGAGGCAAAGAAGTCATTAAGAACCTCAGCCTTCTCCAAACCCAGGGTAGCCAATTCTCCTGATAGCTTTCGGAGAGGGCCCGTTGTCCCTAGTCTGTCTTTTATTTGCAATGTACCTTCTTGTTATCTTTCACATCCTGAACCAAGTTTAATTCTAACTGGGCCTTAGCTTTCCTAACCTGGTCCCTAGATTATCAAAATAATTGTGGTTAGCTATTCTAACCACACAGAGCATAGGAGATCTAGATCGAATCCAGCACAATGCGATAGACACTATTTACAACAAAGCAAGCTATCTCTGGGGATATAGATGCTAACTGGCAAGCAGGATAGAAAGGAGGCATGCTCAGGGCTGCCAAACCACTGAGGATACACCCACAACACGGAGCCAATAGCTTTTATGCCATCCTCAGGACACAGACCTGCAAAGGCATTACAGCCAGATGTGACATGTGAGCCCATGCTGCTCTGCCATGCTCAGGAAACCCACCTCGAGACACTGGTAGCAGAGAGCCATATGAAAGCAGTCAGAAAGCCCAGGAACAAGCCCACCAAACCCACCCCAAAGTGCTGGGCCTGGCCATGAAGCCCTCTACCCTCCTGGCAATCACTGATCGGGGGTATCTCATTTTAGTGTTGGGGTTTTTTCCCTTCAGAAAGAGGAAAGCTTGTTAGATAGAAAAGGGATAATATAAAAAAGACCAGTCCAGCACCTTTACAAGAAAATGGTATTGTGCTTTTTGATAACAAGCTATGCTTCTTCTGGCAACTGAATGCAGATGATTAGGCATAATTCTGACCGAGTTATTTTAAGGCAACAGGCCACGGTGCTCTCCTCAGAAGAGTTCATAGCACTCATACCTTTGCAGACATTAATTCACATTGTGTGAGCGTGAGCATGAAAATAACAGTGAGTTCATGAACTAATTTTCAGGCAGCAAACACTCCAGCAAAAGCTTATAAATATTTTTTAACAACAAATGAGACTGTGCAATAAGCAAACAGTAAAGTGCATTTAAAAGTCAACCTAATGATGGATTTAGAGGCTTAAAGCAGCTCTTTTACTGTACTTGTTTGAAACTTTAATTACACTTTTCATCCCCAGCAATCAGATGTGATACTGAAGTAGAGTTTTATAAATTACTTTATGCTATTTAGTGTCTTTGAACAATCATGTATTTAGCATATTTCAGGAAGAGAAAGCAGCTGAAGTGCTGCTGAGCTTTGTCAAGGTAAACCTGGAATTCTACAGGAAGTTTTTTAATTAGGTTTCAGAAGCAACCCCTAAATATCATGGCAGTGCTTGGCTGGGCGATGCTGCCTTGCTCTGGGTGTGCCTCTGGGCTTCAGTTTTTTAATGACTGACACTTCTATTTATAGAGTGAATAGAAGGGAGTTGCTTGGAAGGGAACATTTCTGAATACATTTCAGTGTACACAGATTTGAGTCATAAAGTCTGCTAACATACAGTTCCTGGTACTGGCCCCTTTCATTTTATCTCGAGATAAGAGTCTTTGCTCCACCCATGGCAAAGTGACTGCTGCCACTGCCATGCTCTGGCTTTTCTCTCCTCTTGACTGAGGGCTGGTGGTGTGAATGAGAGGTTCCTTGCCATCCCACTGTAACCTAACCTTAACCATCATCACACCAAGCCAGATTTTGCTTCAGTTCTTTTACTAAGGTGATATTTGAACAGGCAGTGGTGCTCTTTAGTAGCAATGCGCTAGAAGCAAAACCAGCAGCTGGCAGGTACCATTTATTACCTTCACAGAAGAATAACCCTGGATGGATTGGAAGATTAGCATTAGGGTACACGCTTCTGGATTGACCAGGCTGGTAATAGTCAAAAATAAAAACTACTGGTGTTCAGTATCCTCTGTAAAACAGGATTGATGGCTGTAATCATTTGCTATGAGATTCACCCGCTCTGTAATTGGTAATCTCAGCCCTGTGTCCCAAGCTTAAATGGGCACATATTAGTGCAGAAGATGTGTTATTGTATCCTGTTCTCTGGGCAAACTGAGCATTTCACTCTGGAGGAATGTAGCTCTGTCATCTTTCAGAGACTTCATTGACAAAAAGTGAATATAACACTGAGAAAATATATATTAACTGAGGGTGCCTTAAGTGCCAGAGCAAGGACTTCGGTGTTGATAAATGAGAGGGAATTGGAGGACACACTGATATTGTGGTAAGACACAGGCTCATGCAGGTGCATGCTGACTTGCAGTGTGCGCTGGCAATGTTTTTTGCATCTTCTTGAAAACTACTGTCTTTCACAAAGGTTCAATGCTCTGTGCGCTACTAGTCAGACTCCTGGGTATTATGGGGCTGCCACAGGCTATCACTGAAAAGGCTCTGTTGACTGTGCTCATGTTTAGATCACCTGTGCTCATCCATAGCTAAATGACTGGAAAACAGCAGTAGCTCTCATTTTAGGCTGACCCAGGGAAAACCCATGAGAGCTCCTTGCATTTGGGATCCCTACATGTTTCTTTAGTGAAGGTGAATTTAAACACTTTTGGAAGACACCTGAATCTGAATTTCAGTCTTTCAAAGTACAGATCCCTTTTGGCATGGACTCTAGGTCACCCGTGCCTCCATCCTTGGGTGAGACATTGAACTGTTCCAAGTCTTGTTGTCCCCATCACTGAAAGACAAGCACTGCTCACCCTCTGGGAATGCTGTATGAAGCACTGATAGTCAGAACTAAAGAAGACATGCCTTATAAAACTTCTGGAGATGGCTCATTTAAGAATATAATCAAACCTTGACATGTGCCAAGAGATTATTCAGACATCTGCCACAAACAGGAATATCTGGCAGAATAAAATTCAACAAGCATGGAAAAAACGTCACTGACCATTTTAATCACCTTGGTCCTAGGTACAGGCACACATCTAAAAGGCAATGCTGCCCTCTGTTATGTCTTCAGCTATTCACTAACACATGGCTGTGTGCACAGAACCAGCTACTCCTATCGGAGCTTGGGGCTTTGAATTCCATGGATGACATGGAATAAAGAAAGCAAAGCAGTCTCCTGCAAGAAGCTGAGCACCTTCAGTTCCTAATGAGCTTCAGAGAGTTAGAGAAGGCATTTTGCATCCAGCAAGGACAAAGTTATTGTAGTTAATTCTTCAAATCCTAACCTTCACCCACGGCTTTTTCACTACATGAATCAGGCATTTACATTTAAATAAAAGCCAATATATTGTAATACCTTGTAATTCTGTATTAGTAGCATCCAACTTCATGGATTAAAAATGGATGAAATAGATTTTATTATCAGTTTAGAAGATAACTGTTACCTTTATTTTGGGGTGCTATTGAAGAGTTCAATTCAGAAATTTCAAGACAACCATGAGTCCAATGCAATCATTCTGTATAAAACTGTATGGGAAATAGTTTTACAATGAAAATGTACTAACAATGTATTATCTTCACATGCCCATTTTAAAAAAGAAATGTTACAATTTAACAGGAAATAAAGATTATTCCTTACTCACATTAGGCCTGACTCCAACACTGGTAATCAGATTGACTGCTAAATAGCTCCACCAATACTTTTCTTGTACTCACTGGAAGTACTTATGTAGGCAAATACTACTGACCCCTGCCAAAGGGGGAAAATCTGGGCTTCTCTGATTCAAGGGTTTATTATTAACAAAGCCCTCAGTTGCTCAAACCCCACAAAATGATTTCAACTGAACAGTCACACCACTAGTTGGAGAAAGGAACACATGTGATAAAGGAGGAAAATGAAAAAGCTCATTGACGTGTTGATATACAGCTGATAAGGAAAACAAAAACCCACTTAAAATAAACAACAGTTGAGTTTTAGTCGAAGCCCAAAGCAGCATCTGGTTGCTTTTCTCCTCCAGCGTCAAGAAGATGTTTGCAACGATGCTGAAGGTATTTCCAGTTCTGGCCATCCTTACAGGTAAGTAAGAATAATAAACTGATCATAATAGCACTGGAATAAAGGAACTTGTTGAAATAAGAGAGCAGGTGAACCTGACTGGCAAACTAGGAGAACACTCGAGATTCATTTTAGGAGGGAATGAAAATCATGGCTAGAATGCTATGCCACGTTGTGGGAATCAGCAAGCTGAGCACTCACTGGAAAGAGCTTTTGGTCAAGAACTGAATTTTAGCTTTGATAAATTAATGTTTTGCTCTAACGCCAGGAAGAGGCAAAGATCTCTCACATGGAGACATCAGGGTCTTTCAGGTGTTTTGAGGTTAGGTTTTCTCATGTTCACCTTTTGTTTCTCTTTGATAATAACCCTGGGAAATGCTATGGCTTCATGCTCAGGTTTACTTGGTCCCACCTCAACCAAAAATTTTTGGGGGATGCTTAACTTTAAACATGCAAATAATCCCTGAAGTTAAGTGAGAACATTATACTTTGTGGAATCTAGGAATTATATGGTATATTAAAGATCATGTATTATTCATGTTTCAAGGACATTTCATCATGATAAGCTTTATATTCAATATATACAGAAGCAGACATTTTAAGTCTGATGTTCCACGGAGATGAACAGCCTGTGTATTCACTAAAGAAAATGGAAGTTAGCTCCCACATTTTCAAGATGGAATTGCCTAGTTTAGATGCCAGAGAAATATTTTAAATAGCTGTTCCTGGTGTTTCAATGTTCTCTTTCTCTCACACACATAAACCACACAGATTTTTGCCTTAGAAATGAGAAGCAATTCAGAGTTAGTACCGATACTTCTTAAACCAATGTCCTCTAAGTTTAAAATCTGGATTTACAACTAGAAGTGTGTCTGTACTGATGGGCACCGGCTGGCGGTTTCTATAGTGCCTAGGGAAAGATTGGCAAACGTGGATTTAATCCATGAGAGTTAAAATCTGCATGGGACTCCAGTGAAAGTGGACAATTCCCAATTAACTGCAGTGCCTTTCCCTGTAGCAAGGAAATGGTCTTACCATAATAGTGATGACTAAAAGATATGGATTAATTTTTAACAAGTTATAGTCTGTTCACACTGTTTTTTTCACTGAGTTACTTCTTACTCATGTGCTTTTTTCATTTAAACCCTGTATGTATGAAATGAGGTTACAAGTTTGAAACCTTAAACAGTGAACTAAACGCAAAGCAAAACTCTCATTAACTTCCGTGATGAGAGGAAAGGCTCTGTGTGTCCAGTTCGCTCCACGTTCAGTCAAAAGCTCCATCTTGCAATTAGTGATGGCTTTAAGTAGCTTCAATGGACAATGGAAGTTTGATAGGGTTTGGCTTTATATTTTTACTGAAGCCTACATTTATATTGAAGCCTGTTTCAACTAAATGTATTTCTTTAAAATAGATAGCTTCATGGAAACGAGAATGCTTTGTGGAGTCACTTCTGCTAAAATCCATTCATTTTTCTGGAAAAGCCAGGTTCTGTGGCACTCCTGACTCCAAACTCAGAAAATGATAAGGGAAATATGTGGAGCAGACAGATGGAAAATGGACATTTCAGCAGAATGACCTTGTGCTGAAAGATCATAGCTTTAATCCTGCAAAGACTAGAAAATAAATACATGTAAACCTGGCAAGAATTCTCTGCCCAACTCTGATTCTTAAAGCTGAGAACAGTGAACTGAGATATCTGAAATATTATATGGCTTTTATATTAGATCTCAGTGAATTCACAGGACGAGCAGGACTAACAGCCAGCACTGGGATCCTCTCTGTCCCCAAGGCAGGTTTAACGCATTTAGGTCAATCTCCAGCCATCCCTGTGGGGCTGTATTCACATATAATGTAAATCTTGATGCAGTTTAAACCTGCTAGTTCTCATCCTAGCAACCATTAATCTGGAAAGTACAATATTCTCTTCTTCCTTGCACTTAGCCTTTACTAAGCCATCAAACAAGGAACAGATTGAAGCCATCAAACAAAGAAAACAGACCCCGAAGAGTTCAGGCTCTAGGTTCAGATAGGTTTGCATATTGTAGCAACTAATGGATCTGCAAGATTTACATGGTTAAAAATGCCAAAATAGATTATATGTATTTTTTAAACAGTGTTTTCCCTCATAGGCTAATAATTTGAGAAAAACACTCTTTCAATATTACTGGAGGTTCTGCTTCTACTCCCAAAAGCAGCACCCAAACATAAGATGCACAGATATCTTATTGAGAAGAATATTCCATGTGTTTTGTCTCTATCATTCATATGTGCAATAAGCCCATGTAAAAATTGTCATTATTATAACATGGAGTTCTCACTTTGCCTGTTTTGTATAGAAAGCTCCAACAGACTCATGTTTTCCATCACACTCAAAGGAAATATATTCTCCTTCAGAATCTTCAGGTGGTAGTTTTAAAACCAGGCTTGGTGATCTAGCAAAACCCTGAAATTCAGACTGATTCTTCTGACAGCTCTTGCTTTGTTGCCATAAGTCACTATTGTTAGTAACTCATATGAAGGAGAGAAACAGATAAATATTGTAAGATGGTGTTTGATTCCTTTCATTAATATGACTGTGTAGCCAAGACTGATCGCAAAACTAGGGAAAGGGCTCATATGTTACGTTTTCTCCCTTTGTGCTTTGAGCACAGCAAAAGGGGTTGATCAAGTTATCACATAATTTCTCACAACCCCCATAATAAAAGCAGTTCCAAAAAGCGTAGTCTCAAGTTATCAGTGTAAAAGCATTAGAATAGAACAGCTTCTGCATGTAAGCCCTAAGAACCTAAAGAAAAGTGAAGTAGTTAGCAAAAGCAAAGAGCTGGGCTCCAACATGGGGGACCCATAGTGCCACTGACTCCAGTCAGAATGTAAGAATGCAAGAAGAGGCAACACTGTAGGAGATGGTGATCCACCATAAAGGAGATCAGACATCTAAAGGAGTAACTGAAAAAAATAAGGGTAAGAAGGATATAAAAGGGCTCAACACAGCTGTGAGTGCAAGTTGCAGGAGAGCACTACAAGTGCAGGAGAAACGTTTGGTTTAGCCACAGGCACTGAGTACGCAGGCAAGTCTCTGCAAGTGAGAACAAGTATGTAAAAACAAACTCTGCTTTTTCAGAGTATTATTTGTTGTAAGAGCACAGGTAATCTGGGGATTTACTTGCTTATTAGCTTTTACCCAATCCCACCTTGACATCACTCAAAGGCCCACGGAAAGGGCACTGAAAAGAAGGACTGCACAAGCCCCACGCGTTTCCTCGATGGCACAGGGAGTGCAGTACTCCTGCACGGCTCCCAGGGTCTGGCTGATCACTCCTCACCACACTTACTGCCCACAGGTCATGTCAGCAGTGTTGTGGTGACCGTCCCTGAGAAGATAGTGAACGTCAGTACAGGCGGCAACGCAACCCTTCTCTGTACATATACAAGTTCTGGATCGCTGGGAAACTTCTTTATCCAGTGGAGCTTTTACAGTGCCAAAGAGACCCAACTGCACACCGTAAGATATTTGTTTATTATATATTGTATATTATAACTATTAAGTTATAATTAAGATATACTTAAGTCTTCAATGAATCTTATTGGTGTTCCCTTCCTAAAGACAAAGGACTGGGGTGCAATGAAATTTAGGGGCAGATGCACAAAGTTATTTAGGCTCCCTAGCCCTACTGGCATGCCTGAATTGCTTTGGAAACTTACGAGAAGGTACAAAAGGGATTCAGATGCTCAAACAACTTTCTCCAAGTCGCACAGGAAGCATGAAGCAGAGCAAAGACCAGGTGTCCAAAAACCACACAAGAGCTCCAGCCCCTGAGCCAGCTCCCTTTTCCCTTTTCTGGCAGACGTTTCCTGCCATTGTGAAGGCTGATTTCCTTTCAAGGGTGAGACGCCCTTGCCTATGACAATGTGTCCCCCATTCCAGGATCAAACAAGTGCTCCTTGCCTCAGCCACTATGGCTACTGTTTAGGTGCTTGGTAAGAGCAGCAGTACACAACAACAGGCTACCAGCACAATGTGAGCAGTGAGTGTTTTGGCAGGACTATAGTAAGTTGTCACAGAAGGAAATGTGCCCATGGCAAACTTGTGTTGGCATTTTGCAGCATCCCATGGGTGTCATTGTGGTAGCACAATAATTACAGATCAAAGGCAAATGTTCCCTGCCCTTCCCGAGACCGGAAGATGCAATAGAGCCAAACAGAATAGGTTGAAGTATCAGCACAAAGGCAGCATCAGGACTGTGAAGAACACCAGGTACTGGACAGCTACATGGTGTAACCACTGCCCAAGCCTCTCACGTGGCTGTAAAGGCGTCGTAGAGCAGTCTGGTCTGCTTGGAGGGAGTCGGGGACGGGATGCGTGATTTCCTACACAAACTCACAATACTCTCAGGCTTCAAGAGCTGACCATTAATCTGATATTTTGGTGGGGAAATAAGTCCATGAATCTCACTTGCATCATAACCTGCAGGGTAGGAGCTCCCATTATGATTTGCTCCTCACTACTGCTGAGCAATCAGCAACCCCTTCCTTTCTAAGAAGAAATGCTGATTAGAAGTGTTACGGCATCCTTGAAGATGACAGTGATTTTTTCCCATGTCCTGTCAGACATTCAGTCCCTTTTCTCTCCCACTGCTTTTATCCCGTTGATAACATTTTTTTGAACACTCCTGCCTGGTGTTACATCTGAAAGGTGATACATAGAAATCTGACTTAGAATAGTGTCACAGTCCACACTGAAGGTATTCTCATCATGTTCACCAATTTCCTAGTAATATTATGTTAGGAGGTTTGCCACTGCTGATAGAGTTATACCTTCTATTTGACTGATCAATTATACAGAATTAGACTGTCTATAATTTGCAGAATGAACAGGATGTAACGTACTTGGCATTGAATGGCAATAGCTAGTATGTAAGAAATAGCAGTTTAACATAAAACAGAACTGCTCAGTACATCTCATATAAAGACTGTATCGGTGCTAAATACAAACACTGGGCCCATCCCAGATTCTGACTCTAGGTGAATGCCGGACCAACACATGCACACCTTGCCTGACTAATTGTATGAACAGCCGTTACTCATAATTTGCTTATTTCAAGCCTGAACTATTTTATTAAATGAAGAATTATTCATGAAAGGGTGGTAGCTGCAGGTTTCGTAAGTTGTACATAGTAGAACATGTTGTAATTTTGATCCAGTATGTACCGCGTACATTTTAATCTCTTGTTCAGGTGAGAAGTGCAGCACTGAGATAGGAACAAGCCCAACTTCTCCAGATTTGGTTAGAGTCTCTCTGTTTCACTTGTGCCAAATTTTCCATATTGTAACGCAATAAGTGCAATAATTTTTCTGGTCATAAACAAGAGAAATAAGTAAATTGTAGTTGCAAGTATTTTAGAGGGAGAATCAGACAGTTTCAAGTGATCCAGGACGGGAAAACCATTCACAGACTGTGATCAATGATGAGAAAATACCCCCTGAGGATCAGAACCATAAAATCCTGTGGGTGGTTCAGAATATACTCAACAAGAACTAACTGATTTGAGGCTACCAAATGTTAGGGAAACCTTTGGATCAATCTCTTCCTTACTCACTCCCGGCTCCTGCAGCTCCCACTGCAGGCAATGGGAATGCTGTGCCTATAAGGACTGTGAGAAACACGGGTAAAAACTGCATCTGGTTTTCTCCCCATTTGAAACTAATTTCACGGTAAATTCACTTTTACACCACAACACACATACATTTGTAATGGATTATTTGCATTTTCATTAAATGAAGTAGGCTCAGTCTGTAAAGGACATGGGTTAGTGACTAATCCCGTTCCCCCTGAACATGGAGGCAACATTTCCTTTTGCTGCAGCACCAGTTATCCCTGGCTCGCATGCCCAGCCAAGCTCACAGGATGCCCTTCACTCCTCCTGATGTGCCTGGAGGGTGCACATGTGTGAAGAGCTGCAGGACTCCTTTTAAAATGCTTTTAGCAATGCATTCAGTCCTGAGTTACTTGACCTAGTATCCTTTTGCCACTATATGGCAATTCCTTCCCATTTTGAACCTATTCACAGTAAAATCAGTTAATGTGAGCATTGGGAAGAAAGGACTGTGGCTGCTTCTGGAAAATACAGTTTAAGAAATAATATAACACCACTGAACATGAAACTGGATTTTCAACTTCCCTCTAAACCCACTGCAATACGAGGTTGCTAGTTCTGTTTCAGGCTGGTGACTTGTGTGAGCTTCAGAAAGGACTGAATGATGAAGGCACACATGTGCTCCTACAAGTTTAAACAAAAAAGTAATCTTTCTTCCTGCAAACCTGCCTTTGCCCTGGCTGCTTGGCATGTAGCTGAAGTTAAGTTACACGTTTTGTTCCAAGTAGGAAATACATGGATGGTAATGGAGGAGATTGCCAGCTTTGGCTTTCGTTGTTTAGATTAAATACTAAAATGCAAGTCAAAAATAAGTTTAATGTGCTGGTAAGATGACAGAACCGACTGCATTTAAAAGACTTGCACCATATCTATTGAATATCAGAGCAGTAGCTGGCATTTTAAATGGGATAAAATAATCAGATTCTGAAATGTCATCAACAAGCAAACAAACAAATACTTCCTTATAAATAGAACACATTTTCCCTGGAAAAAAATATAGAAAATTCTGGTTCCATTTAAAATTTGCCCTTTCTTTCAGCAACTAAATGGAAAACATTTTTAAATTGTTTTTTTAAGTTGAAAATTTCTGCCAGATATTTTGAAGACAGAAAACTTAAAATTATATATATATATAAACTAATGCAAAAAAATACATCTTCTTATCTCACCTGCTGCAATTTTAACTTCTTAACATCTTAATAAATTCTAGGTATCTTGATGACCATGTTATTCACATGGGTAGTATATTCCCAATATTAAGATTAAGCAGAGGGGGTGTTCTCCATAACAAATACAGAGAAGGAGGAATCTTGATTTTAATAAATCATGTTTATGTAGGTAATTGAGAACATGGCTCTCTCTACAGTGGCAGCCAATAACAGAAAAAATTATAGAGTGTTAGAATTAATTAAGGCAAATTTATGTCATTACGATACCTTTGGCTTGAAGAACATGAGGGCTAAATTACTAGATTTTAGGACATAACATATAATAAGCACAGAGGCCATTTTCAATAATTTCTTCTTTTACTTTTTAATAAGACCATCAGTATTTTACTCTGCCCTTTATGTTACAGGTTTTGCAGAGTTTTTAAGTACGTAAGCTCAGGTACAGTCCTGTCTGGAGTGAAATCAGTCAGATCAGGATCAGGACTAGTGTCAGTGCTAATTTAATGTCCCAGAGTATTCAGGACCAGATTTTACATTGTCTCAAGGTGAGGCTGTGCTGCTCATCAGTTTGCAGCGCTGCTGCAGGTCTGCCTCTCAACGCTGGCTTTGTGAAGCTGGCTGGTGTCTTCTGCTGTTTGTTCTGGTGTTTTCCTGTTCCACACTGCCCACCTTACACAATGCTGGTGCAGGTGTTCGACACTTGTTAAGTCTTGGCAGTTACACCAAGAGGATGAAATACCACGAACAGGCTGCTCACAGACAGGATGGTGAAAAGGGAGGCAGCAAACAGCGGAATGGCAGGTGTTCAGTGCTGCTTTGAAGGCAGTGCAGCTATGAACAGTGTATGTATAGAATGTAGAATATATAGTGTATGTATAGAACGTAGATCTTTTTACTGTTTGGAGCCTACTTTTGCTTTTTTTCCTGAGAAGTTTCTCCAGTGCAAGTAATTCCCCTCATTTGAATTATATAATGTAAATATCAACTCATGGAAAATAGGATGCCCTATGTATTTTAACTTTTTCTTCTTGCCATTTACCCCTTTGTGACCTGTCTTTTTAATGCTGAACTTCAGTTTTAAATAACAACCCCCAGCTAAAGATCTTGAAAACTTTCCAAAACTGAACTATCTCTATTTTATGTACAGGCAAACTGAGGCAAACACTACTTACTCTGCTCACACAGGGTAAGAGAGTAGATCACAGCCTGGCCATAGTTCATAAGGTAAAGTCTCAACTCCTAAAATCTACATGTGTGCTTCAGTTCATGCTCTGAGTCACTTGGCCAGCCTCGGTGTGAAGCACCTAAGTAAATGTTTGAAAGATTGAAGCCTGCTATTGACTCTGCACAGGCGAGGCTACAGCCTTGCAAAGCCAAATACAACTCCTGAACCCAGCCAGGGCCACACCTTGAGCCTCAAGCCCAGGCCACCCACAGTTAAAAGTAAGTGAAACTATCAGAGACACTGCATGGCTACCCCAGCTATGCCCAGGGCAGAATTCTTGACTGAAACTTTAAATTCACTAGATGAGTAAAGATCATGAATGAATGTTACTTGTAAGAAAAACTGAACTGTTCATAGACCTCTCATGAAAATGTTCTCTAAAATAAGGCAAGCTTGAAAGCACAAATGTGTCTGCTTCTTTCACCCTGAAACACAAATTCAGACCACCAGCAGT